CCAACCTTATACCTCTGTTCAATACCAACCCCACCCTCTGTTGCCATAGCTTCTGTGTTTATTCCTTAAATTCCTTAATTCTTTTCTTCTGCCAACTGCTCCAACTCTCATCTCCTTTGGTTATTAAAAGAGCTCTTTTGTTAGCCATCTTTCTTCTCTGTTCCCAAACTAGCATCATTAGCATCACCTAATAGCTTATTAGAAATGCAAATTCTCAGGCCTCATCCCAGTTCTCTTGATTCAGAAACTCTGAGGGTGAGCCCAGAAATCTGTCTTAGCAAACCCTTCATGCCATGTGATGCACATTAAATTTTGAAAACAACTGGTCTAAGTATTACAGGACTTTGAATCTTGATATACAATGACAAATTTTAGAAGTTAAAAAAAAAAACACAACAAAAAAGCAAGCAAACTTTCCTCAAGATCTTGGCTCTTAGAAATCATAAATGCTTCGCTATCAAATGATTTGTATTCATCTGCTCAGGGTGCCATTAACAAAGTACCATAAACTGGTGGCCTAAAGAACAGAAAAATGTATTGTCCACAGTTCTGGAGGCTAGAAGTCCAAAATGAAGGTGTCAGAAGAGTTGGTTTCTTCTGAGGGTTATGAGGGAGAATCTGTACCATGCCTCTCTCAGCTCATGATGGTTTATTGGTGATCTTTGGCGTTCCTTGGCTTGGAGCAGTGTAACTCCAGTCTTCACATGGTGTTCTCCCTATGCCTATGTCCAAGTTTCCCTGTTTTATAAAAAAGATGTAAGTTGTGTTGGTTTAAGGTCTACACTAATGACCCCATTTTATCTTCATTAGCTCTGTAAAGACTGTATTTCCAAATAAGGTCACATTCTGAGGTTCTGGAGGTTAGGACCCCAACATCTTTTTTTTTGGTGGGACACAATTCAACTCACAACATGATTGTCTATTTTTTGTCCTGGGTTATATCCAGTCCCCGACAGATGCCGTGGCGACTACCGCTGAATGGTTGAAGGGCAATAAAACACTGAGAAAAAAATTAAAAGAATATCAATTACTATGTTGCAAAAAACAGTTTAAATAGGGAGCTTGGGTGGCTCAGTCTGTTAAGCGTCTGCCTTCGGCTCGGGTCATGATCCCAGGGTCCTGGGATTGAGCCCCACATCTGGCTCCCTGCTCAGTGGAGAGCCTGCTTCTCCCTCTCCCACTCCCCCTGCTTGTGCTCTCTTTCTCTCTCTCTGTCAAATAAATAAATAAAATCTTAAAAAAAATAGTTTAAACAGAGGTGGAAAGACCAGGAGCTCCATTCATTGTAAATTCTAAGGCTTATTGTATTGGTCTGCTCAGGCTGCTCAGACTGAGTAGCTTAAACAACAGAAAGTTATTTCCTCACAGTTTTGGAGGTGGAAGTCTAAGATCAAAGTGCCAGCATTGTCAGGTTCTGATGAGAGTGCTCCCCTTGGGTTGCAGAAGTCCACCTTCTTGCTGTGCCCACATGACCTCTTCCTGGTTAGGATAAGAGCGAGCTCTCTGTCTCAAGGACACTAATCCCATCATGAGGACCACACCCTCATGACCTCATCTAACCCTAATTACCTCCAGAGGCTCCACCTCCTAATATCATCACCTTGGGAGTTAGGACTTCCCTATATGAATTTTGGAACATTCAGTCCATAACACGTACCCAGAGAGATTCTGATTTATTTCACCTGGAGTAGAGCAGTCCACCTAAATTTTTAGAACTTCACAGGTAATTGTGATGCACAGCTAGTGTTTAAACTTTTGTCCTAGCTCTTCATTTCTATGGAAAAGCACAGTAATTTTGTAGTGCTAATTAACACAGAATAAGACATAACACTAGTCAAGCTATAACATCTTACTTTACCATTCTGATTGTTTTTGTATATCTTGTCAGCCCACCTCTTCAGTAAGCACCTGAAGAAAGTCACCCCATTTCTACTTGTTAAGTTCTTAACAAATATAAGCTGATTGACCAAATAAAATCTTGGATTCTTTACTTCAACCCCTTTGCTTCAACAACTATACAAATAAAAAATCAATACATGTAAGTAATTAATTCTCTTCTGTGATAGAGAAATGCAAGGAACATATGTTGGAAATTTTACTGTGTCTAACCTCAGAGTCTAGGTAGGGTCTGAGCCTGGCCTGTCCAGGTAATAGAGACACTGAAAGGCAAACACAGCCTGTAAGCTTCTAGTTAGTAATTAGTTTCTCTGTTCCCTATGTCTCTTTATACTCTGGCTGGTTAGTAAAACAACTCTAATGTAATAGGTCAAAGCTTACTCAAGTGTTGCTGTGCAGTGTATTAGGACTGCGAAAAGGATCCAAGAGATTTCTTTTCTGCACAGTTAAGTTATAGATGGAAAGTTAGGGAGGGCATTCTCAAACTCCTGTACCTCCCCACCCCCATTTTCATCCTTTATTTAAAAAGAAAAAAAAGTATTTGCAATGTCAGGATTGCAGAAAATGTATTATAAAAATAATGATCTGAAAGTCATAGTCTCCTCTCCCCGATCTCCTGCCATCAAATCAGAGTAAAACCATTTACATGCTACTAAGTTCTGGAAAATAAGTTTCCTATCTGTCCACCTATTATAGGATTTTCCTATTAAGCCCAAAACACCCTGATTTGTTTGGAGAGATAAATTTCACCCCCAGCATTTCTTTAATAATCCTTTTATACTTTCTTCTTATCTCTCTTCTTGCTGCTATTGTTTGATAGTGCCACTTAAACAGGTCTTTCCACAAGGTTGCTCAAATTAAACATTAGCCAGCTCTAATAAGCAGCTACAGAAAACTACTGACGGTATCTAGCAAGATAAACATCCACACACCAAACTTTTGAGATTTCTTTATTTCTAACCTGATTGTCTGAAGGGAATGTTCTTTAAAGACCACCTGACTTGCTTACTGTTGTATTTTCAGATATTAGGTCTTCCAGTGCCAAATGGACCACGTGGCATTGATAATTGGCTAGATTTCACTTTATTTTGATGGTAGGAAATTTGATATTTGTGTGGTCTGTGCTGGGGTTCAAGAGACCGAAGCTCTACATGTAGAGATCCATTACTTTGAATTAAACAATAGCAAATATTAAAGAAACAATTTATCCTTTATCTATGATTCTCTAGGTAAGGCAAACAAAGAAACAAATCTGAAAAACAAACAAACAACAACAATAAAGAACTTTGTGACTAATACCTAAGCGACAATTAGTTTATCAAAGATGGTCCTCTTGCAGAAAACTCAGATAAGCTAAAAACCCTGGATACATATGTGGTGGGGGACTGGGTAGTACAAAGGGAAGAAAGGGCCTAGAAAAAAAAGGGCCTTATAGGTGGGAGGTATCACAAGAGAACTTGGGCTACTTCATATATAATCTGGGGCAGGAATCTGCTCTTCACTGTTCTTGTGGAATAGTGGACTGAGGACAAACTTCAGGTTCAGACATGCTTCTGGGAGAGTTCACTCTCCCCATTACTACTTTGGTAATGAGGATGGTATTGAACTTCATTAAGCTCAGTCTCATCATCTCTAAAAGATTCATAATAACATATATCTGTATGTGTTGTTAGGAAGATAATGTGAAGTATTGTTTATAAAATATCTGGCTTGTATAGAAATGAAAGAAACACTAGCCTGCATTCAGCATATCAATCCCCTTGGCCTCACCTCCTATTTAGTTTCTTTGCCTTTTCTCTAGTCCCAGCAACACAGGGTGAAAAGATGTATCTGATAACTGGTAGCTGAATGGTTGACTCGCTTGTTTTCTCTCTACCTGTTCTCTCCACTTTCCTCAAAGAACATAAGTACTTTGACTGGGCTTTGTTTATATGGTACTGGAAATTTTCAACAAAAACACTTTTAACATGAAATCCTACTGGGAATTCACAGCTTAGTTTTCTGTAATATACATATGTTGATCCCCAAAAGACTCGTAGAAAACCCATCAGAAGAAAACCAGGTGCCCCTAGATTTTACTGTATTATATAGTGCAGAATAATAATATATCATTAAAAAAAGAAAACTGGCCCAAAATGGCATCTCTTAGGCCCAAATCAGCAAACCTGGAATTAATGTCTAACTTAACTGCAGTTTCAGCCTCCCCCCAAAGTACAGTCTTAACTGGTCAGTCAGGAATTTTCTGATAGGTATCAATGAGGTTATCTGTCACTTGGGACCCTCCATCTCCCAAAGGAAGATGAGGTAATCTGCATGATAAGACCCTCTTTTCCCCATAAAAGATAGTTTGCCTGAAGGTATCCTTTCTTTTATTTTGCAAATAACTTCCTTGCTCCCCCACCCCTTCCTTGTAATTTTGTATTGCTCCTTGGAGTTTCCCTCTATGTGTTAGAGGGGATGTTGCCCTATTCGTGAATCTCTTAATAAAGCCTGTTAGATCTTCAAATATACTCAGTTGAACTTTGTTCTTTAACATTATTACTGTTACTATGATAGAAGATAAAATAGTAATTTATTATTGTATAGTATTATATGTTAATACTATTATTTAATATTTTATTATATATACATATATATTAATCTAAGCTTACTATGTATTCCACTGGAATACATGGTGAAGTAGTCTTCACAATGGGTGGCAGAAAATGTGGGAAAAAATGCTAAATCAGTAGCAACATCCTGTTCACGGGTAATCAGTTTTCAAGTAATGTGGAATTCAGGGAGAAATAAATGTTGGGGATTGGCGTGTGTGGGGGTGTGTGTGTGTGCGTGTGTGTAAAATAAGGGCAAGTAGAAGAAAGAAGAGAGCAAATTCTGAAGGCTTCCAGTTGCTAAGAATCAATCTATGTGCCTCCTGCAACCCTCCAGGGTGACTGCCTAGGTGAGAGCAGAGAATATTTTCTTTTTATCTTTCAATCACTGCCTTTGTAGGTATAAAATAAGAATATCGATTACTGGAAGGTGATAATGGTTTCTCAGTCAAAATGTTATTTGTTGTTGGACTTCATTTCCCTGTCTCTTGATTTTTATGTCACTCTCCCCAGGTCTTCAATCTTCTTTAGATGTGGTCAATGTACTGGCAGGTCCCAGGAAGATGCGATGGTTGGACATTCGTGGAAGAGACCCAGACTCACCAGGGGGATATCCTTCCAGTATTCCCAGCTCCCTCCTGCTTTCTATTCTTGATATAAAAGAATAATTTTGCTTTTTAGTTCTTGACATTATCATCAATTAGTATAGTGTGTGTCCCTCTCCTGAAGTTCACCTTGTTGATAATCACAGACAAGAGAGAGAAGCATTGAAATATACAAAAACAAAAGCAACTTTAAAAATGTGAAAAACCTTGGGGAGATAGAAAGCAGTTTTAACTGATGGAAGTAGCAAATGGCAGACTAGGGTGGGGGAAGCCCCAGTGTCATCCATAAGGAAGGAATATAAATATAACCTAAAAGCAGTGTCTTCCATATGCAAGGAATACAAATATGAATTAAAAGAAAAAATTCAACATAAAGCATAAATAGCAAAACATATCCAGCCAAAAGGGATTGTGGACCTAGAGTATAGTTTTGTGATGTTACCACAAGACAACAGGAAGGGATAGAGAGATGAAAAGTAAAATAAATAATAAATAAATAAATAAATAAATAAATAAATAAATAAGAGTTGGAGGATATGGAATATAGATTAGCAGTTTTAACTTTTTTATAATACTCCTTAAAGGTAAGGAAGGTCATAAATGGAGGAGAAAACATATTTTAGGAAGTAAGGGCTAAGCATTTCCAAGAGTAAGAGAATAATTGAAGAGCTCAACTGGCAAGGGATTACAGAGTGCCAAATAATTAGATGAGAGAAACCCACAGGTACACAATTCATGGTGAATGCTAAGAATTAAAAAAATGGCAAAAGTAATATGGTAAAACTTCCTAGACAAAAAAAAAAAGTGAATCATTGAACATTAACCTTTTCAACAGTGGTACAAGGAAAAAATAATGGGGTAATGTTTTCAAAGTGTTGAAAAAAATCAAAGTTAAAATTTTTTAATAACCTCAGAGATTATTTTAATATACATAAACAAATAAAGCTATTTTCAGCCCTCATAAGGTTTACCTCACATAACCCTCCTTGAGAATATTTTTGGAAGAAGTACTTAGATAAGATAAATCCTAGAGGAGATTTTATATATATACATATATGACATTAAGGATGAATAAATAGTTCAATCAAGTTTATTATTTAAAGAAGCAAGGAGCCTGTATGGGAGAAGATATAGTTATTAATAAGTTTAAAATGATACAATAGTGGATATTTATAAGTTAGTCACAATTAAATAAAGACTAAAAATAGAATATATAAATAAGAAATCATAAAAAATTAAAACATACCATACTTAGCTCTTAGTGACAATGTAAATTCATTTCTAAGAGGTAAATTAATATGTATCTGATGTAAATAGTTGGAAAAAACAAACAAAAGAAGAAAACCAATGAAGCAAGATGGGAGTCTATTATAATCTTAGCTGGGTCTAGAGAAGAGCATAGGCATGTAGCCTCCATAAAAACAACGGATTTTTCTGCTCTATTCACTACTATATCAGAGTTCTTATAACAATGCCTAGAACATTACAGGTGCTCAATAAATATTTAATAAATGAAAGAATAAATAAACAACAACTTGGAGAAAATATTACCAAAAATGTGTGTGTGTGTATTTAAAGGATCCATATGATAAAGATATCTCTGGCAAGAGTGATCTAGGAAAAAAATAAAAGAGTATACAAACCAACAAAATATAGAATGAAAAAGATGTAATAAATATATATATACAAGAACTTCAAAAATAATAAAAATTTATTATAACAGCTACATAGTAATACATTTGAAAACATAGGGAGAAGAGAAAAATTTGTACAAAAGTATAAAAAGCCAGAATAAGAGCAAGGAGAATAAAAACCTGAATAGACCAATAACCACTAGAGAAATTGAAATGGTAATTTCAGGCTCTTCTCCAAAGATGCCTCAGGTCCAAAGAGCTTCATAGCTGAGTTCTCCCATACTTTCAAGGGATAGGTGCTTCCCATTTTATAAAAGACTTTCCAGAAAACCAAAAAAAAAAAAAGAGAGAGAGAGAGAGATACTCACGTTTTTATGAGGCTAGTATAATATTGATTTCTAAATTGGATAAGTAGAATACAAAATAAGGTATTTATAGATCCATTTTATCTTTAACCACATAAAGAACTAATCATACAACTATTTTAATAGGTACAAAAAATTCATTTACTAAATTTCAATGTCTATTTTTGACATAGACCCAGAAAATCACTACTAGAATGAAACTTCCCTAACTTAATAAAAGCCATATAATTAAAACCTACAATTTCTTATTTAATGGAAAAACTTGAGCCACATTCCTTCAGGTTTATGAATAAGATAATGATGTCTTTTATAACCACTCTTGTTTAACACAGGACTAGATTTCCTAACTAATGCTATGAGAAAAAAGAGGAAATAAGAAATGCAAAGATTGAGTATAAATACGGTTTAGGATTTAGGTAAGATAATGATCTGTATAGAAAATCCAGCTCCTAAGATAAAATATTAGACTTACCTGAGTAGTCTATTAAGTTATCTGATACATGATCAATTTATAAAAATCAATTGGGTCCCCTCCTGGCTAACAATATTTATCTAGAAAATATTTAAAATACATAGTATTCAAGTAACAATAAAAAAACAATAAAGTATTTAGGAAATAATTTCATAAAAATTGCAAATTACTTTTACAAAGAAAAAACTTAAAATCTATTAATTGGCCTAAAAAAAATCTAAAACTAGTAGAAAGATTACAATATGCTCCTACATGACTGACTTTAATTTATAAAGAGGCAAATAGTTTCCAAAATTCATCAATTGGTTAGATATAATACTAAAAAGAATTCAACTTAATACTTTCACAAAATTGAAAGATCTATTCCAAAATTTAAAACAAAGATGAAAGTGCTATAGGTAGTGTTTTTAAAAAGAAGAGCTGTAAAAGAGAACTCCTTCTGGAAAGATATATTACCAAGCCATAGTTAAAAAAATAGAAAAGAAAAAAGATATGAACAATTTGACACAAATACGAGACAGATAGCTAAAGGACAGAAAAAAGAGTTTAAAATAAGTCCCATTTAAATATTATGATTTGATTTAAATCATTGAGGAAGGAAAACTTGCTCAATTTACAGGGGAGGAGGAAGAAACATTGATCTCTTTCTTACACCATGTAAAGAGAGCCCCCATCCCATCCCACAGATGGTTTAGCACTTAAATGTGAAAGATAAATTTATAAAGCTTTTAGATCAAAAATAGGAGAAAGCATTGTTCCTGGGAGTGATGAAGAACTTCTTAAACAAGATGGTAAAAGCAAAACATAAGGAGAAAAATTGGTAATTAGGACTACTTAAAAATTAAGGATTTCTACTTAATGAAGGAGACCATTGATAAAGTGAATGGAAGATAATGAACTGGGAAAAAGTTGTTTGCAACATCAAAAGCCAATGTAAGATTAATATTGAAAAGAAAGGAACCTATACAAGTTTGGAGAAAAGATAGGGAAAACTAACTGATTTAAAAAATAGTTAAAAGATGTGAATAAGGAATTAACAGAAATGAAAATCAATAAATCACTATCAGTAGTACTAGTATTAAAATCCTTACTATTATTAATAAAATTGCTGGCCTGGAGAAGCAGAAGACCTCAATGGGACGTAGCATAGTAACTTTGAGAATAACATAGAGTTAGGGATTGCAGGGATACAACTGTCCCTAGAAAGCTGTGCAGACTATTTTTTGCCTCTGTGCAGCTGAGGTTTCAGATACCTCTTCTTGGAGCTAGAATTGAATAATAAGAAAATGACAAATTATAATTAATAACCAAGAAGACAGCCCTCATGGCTCTTTGTGAGACATTTTCTGGGATTTTTCAGAAAAGCTCAGTGACGAATTGGGAGGAGATCTTAAGAAAAAGTGTAGAGGCATTGCAATAACCTACAGGGGAAACAGCCAAATGAATGTCATTTGGGGCTGTTATAAACTACCTTTTTACACATCATATTTAACCTGGAAAAATCTAAGGTCCACTAGTGCTAATGCTAGATGCTAATTCTATAAAGGGAAATAAAGCATCATCACCACCCTCTCAGTACAGCTTGGTGCTAGTAAAGGAGTAAAGGAAATCGCTGTCTTAAGAACTTAATTAAATTATTGTTATTTTTTTGCCTCTTGTATTAGTACGTATTTTATTCTCATTTAACATGGCTAATTTTCAGAACCCTCATATCCCCGAATTGACAGGAACCTTAAATTGCCCCAGCCTTCACCTAGTAATGATGCTTTTACTGATTTAAACTGATTTATTTTTAAATTGATTATATTTTATAACATAAAATATAACTCATCCAAAGTCCAGCTGTTAATGGTTACCTAAGTTTATAAGCTGATCTTAAAATTCTTGCAGAAATGCAAAGCACCTAGAATAGCCAAAAAATCTTGAAAAAGAACAAGGTTGAAGGACTCATACTTCCCAATTTCAAAACAGATTACAAAGTTATAATAATCAAAACAGTACAGCATTGACATACAGATAGACATAAACCCATGTATATTTGGTCAATTGATTCTTGAAAAAGGTACCAATGAAATTCAGTGGGGGAAAGAACAGTGTTTTCAGCAAATGGAGTATGGAGTGACTAGATAGTTACATGCAAAAGAACATAGCTGAAAACTTACCTCATACCATACATAAAAATTAACTCAAAACGAATCATAGACCTAAATGTAATAGCTAAGACTATAAAACTCATAGAAGAAAACATAAAAGTAAATCTTTATAACCTTGGGTTAGACAATGGTTTCTTAAACAAGGCACCAAAAGTACAAGTGACAAGAGAAAAAATAGATAAATTGGTAAATTTAAAAACGCTTGTGCTCAAATGATACCACCAAGAAAGTGAGAAGACATCTCACAGAATAGGTAAAAAATACTTTCAAATCATATTTCCAATAAGGGACTTTTGTTAAGAGTATATGAAGTACTCTTACAGTTCAATAATAAGAGGACAAACCAATTTAAAAATGGGCAAAAATTTGAATAGATATTTCTCCAAAAAAGATACACAAATAGCCAATAAGCACATGAGAAGATATACAAACATCAATAGTCTCTAGGGAA